CTTTGGTTTTACATTTTTAGAATGATGGTTGTTCTATAGTGTTTTGTGAGATTAGTTATGCATCATTTTGAAATAAGTATTTAAGGGTTTTTTAGAATGTTGTTTAAATAAAGTTACTGTCTTCTTCTTCTATGAGCTCCACAAACATAATCCCATTAGCTTCCACTGTAGGTTTCAGACATGTCAAAGCTGATATCTAAAAACCTTGACAGTAATACTGAAGATCCTATCAGGATCAAAGTGGATGCTTGGAGCTGTGATAACACTGATGCACTCGTTAAAATATTTGCGTCATTCTTCATTTTGAATCCAAGTCCAATCAAAACCCTCCTCATTGCCTGACTGACCCAAAATAATCCTCCTCTGCTGCCGCAAGGAAACCACTCAGTCCCTTGTAAGTCATATGGTAACTTGGTTAATGAGCAAATACAAATTAAAATTCATAAGGCAGCTTCCAGGCAACATATGCACTGACTAGCAGCCCCAGCCTGCTTGTTCTCTCTCAACCGCTTTTTTTTTTTAAAGATGCCATCTGTCTTGCTGATATTTACAGATCTTTCAGTGTTTGCTTTCTGTGTATAGAATATGTTTCAGTCATATTCCAGCCTCTCCTTTCCAGACCCTCTCTGTCTTGTCTTTAAACTTTCATGCTCTTTGTTTCTCCCTTGCCTCCCTTCTCCATCTCCATCTCTCTGTCTCTTCGTCAGTTCGCCTTTCTCTCTCTCTCTGGACTCCTTCAGCATCACTTTGTCTTTTCCTTCCTCCTAGCTCTTCTGTATGATTGATGCCGCCATTTATTTTCCATGGGATCCACAAGGAATATTAAAAGGGGAGGTGTGTGTATAAGTGTGCATGAATAGTGCTGCTGAGTAACAGCAGAGAAATACTGACCGTTCCTAACATCCAGCCCACATCTGCATCTGATACTGGCTCCTTCTCTAATACCTCTTTACTGTCATACAGACAGACAGACAGCACGGAGAGCAGATTTATAAACAGCATCCAGCTGTGGTACGTTTATGTGTTGGTTGTGTGTGTGCAACCACTGATCCTCCTGACTAGTCACTGGTATAAAATGCACCCTCTTCACTTTCATTTAAATAACTTTTCAATGTGCACTTGCAGTTCAAATCTCCAGAAGAAGCGATGTGAGCACAAGTGGAGCTTCAGTTGAGATTGTTTAGTCCACTGCTGTTTACAAAGCCATGAACGAACTCTCAAGTCAGTTTGTGTGGTTTTTCTTGATGTAAATGTATTGAAATAAAATACTAATGTAAAGTTCTATTGTCCCCTCTCTTTGTAACTCTGCTGGTCCTTATTCAGGCTTAATTACTGCTGTTCATTTTGACACATTGTGCGAAGAATAAATAGAGAACAATGTACAAGCCAGAAAAGCCACGAGCCACACCACGAGTACAACTGAAGGAAGCGTGATCATCCACACTGGCCATAAAGGAAAATGAAAAAGCCTGCCTCCTCTACCCTTACAGAAAAAAAAAACGTTGAGTGGTTTCAAGTTGGGATTGTACATTTTTCATCTTCTTATACACCTGTGAGCTGATTTATTCTTTCAAAAAATACAGTGGTTGCTGTTTTGTCACTCCACCTTCGAGTGTGTCCACTTGAATCAGGTATAAGCACTTTTGCCTTTAGATGTGGTCGGACTCATTGTATGAACTGCTTATTTTCTAGGGTAATCTGACCGCGCTACATGCCATCGGGATACGTGCATAAGAAATCTTTTCCCCCAGATTGCATTCTGATTGCACAAGGACCCAACCAAAGTTCGATTAGAACTGACATACAGTATCTGTGTTTATATATTTGTGCACTGACAGGCCTTATCCTGCATCTGTGTGCAAACAAATTGTTGGGTGGCAACTGAGTGGATAAACGACATGTTCCATGTATTGCTGTCTTTAAAAACAAAAGAGATGTTCTGAGGAGCTGGAACATTTTCAAGATGAAAAGAAAAGTTTACAGTGACAAAACAAATTTTTTTTTCAACTGAGTTCCTATTTCTGAAAGTAAAGCATGACATTTTGGAGGTAATAACAATTTCGATGAGAGTATGATGAAATAGTACAAGTGAAAACTGCAAATAACAGATTATGGTAGAATAAAAAGATCAGTTAAATGTCAGTGTACAAATGAAATCACTCCATGTAATGACAATTAAATAACCTTGTATCTTTGTATCCTGTAATGTACAATTATGAAATGAAACACAAACAAATCACATTTGCAAAAGGTTTTTGTTCAAGGCCTTGAGTGAATAAATAGAAAGAGTGACAGAATACAAACCAAACTGAATACTGTATGCCTGAATATGGTGAATAAGCATTATTCCTGTGTTCTGAGACCTTGGCTACAGCCTCGGGCGAAATTAGTCCATATGAAATTGAATAGTTTCTGCAATTTACATTCTGAGGTTAC